GTAGAAGAACCAGTTTTTTGAGAAGCTTGTTGAGAGTCATAGTGAAATGTTCTCAGCAACCTGTAGTGGTCCTTTCTTTTCTTAAATTGTGTTAATCACATTTCCCCTCAATTTTGAGTTGCGTGGGAGTCAATTGTATGGTGGTAGGTGTATGTGCAATGGTGGGATTAAATTTTTAACACATGATGYGAGAGTTAAAAAGTGAAAGTGGTGTTGCTGTTATTTGGATGGCTGTCAAATATGTTTTCTGTCTTTGGGCGCAGGCGTACATGTTGTGTGAGATATAATTCTTCAAAGTGGGAATACTGTTYGAGATTTTGAATTTTTGAAAAGAAAAGAATAACAAAAATTTGATTGTTTGAAGAACAATGAGAATGATGGGGSTGTTGACAATGGTGACTATCATGCAACAGATGGTTTTGAATGAAAAAGAATTGTTGGCAATCAGTGATTGTTAATATTGTTGAAAGATGTTGGTTGATAGCAGTGATGAATTGTTTTTTGTAGTATCAAAGGCGTGTGGGCAAATGCATGTGGTAGAGAGCACACCTAAAATATGAATCATAGATATTYATCATAGATATGAGTAATATATGCAATAGGATATCCTACAAACATAATATGAAATCCTTCCTGAAACGTTGTCACCAGGATCAAGAAACTTATTAATGTGTAGTTCGTCACTGAAGATCCTCCTCTACTAGCTAGTAGCTATGCCATACTACCAAATATCCTTTCTGAAGGAGCAGATGTTGCTTGAACAACAAGATTCTTCCTTGCTACTAGTAGAACAGTGCGCCAGTACTGGAAATTGGTTCTTCTTTCCCCACCAGTGCAGAGGAGGGTTGGAGGAGTGATGGTGCATCTTGCCACTCCTCCTCTTCTTCTTGTTGTCTCGTGGTGTGGCACTGCCAAAGGGTGTGATTTGACAATGGTACATGTAGCTACTAGTAAGCAGCTCCAGATTGCATGATTATAGTATTACACACTGAGGATTGAAATAGGGCACTGCAGCTTCTTGCTCCTCTTTTTGTGACAGCATGTTGTTGCTGCATGATTATCCTCAAAGGGGAATCCTTTTTTTCAAGGGGTCAATTCCTCCTTACGATACGTACGAACTGTACCATAACTCAAGATAGCGCTAGATGCTTAATTAAATGGCCTAAAATAAAAATAAAACATTCTTTGCAATACGTACTGAAATTAGAAATTGCGAATATTGTAACGGTTTTCAAACCGCCTSGACAAATCTAGTCTTTCCTCGTTTATGCTTCCGACGAAGTATTTCTYTAAATACTCTACTAGCAGTAACTGGTGACATAGGGAAAAACTGTAGTTCCAACTCCGGATATGTTCTTTGAGAAAGGGCCTAGATACGTGAAAAATGATCTTAACGATTCACAGCTGTCTTTCGCTTAGAGGCACGTGTATATTCGCATGTTATCTATATCGTAATGGCTTTCGAGTGGAGATGACTCGAATTGCCAACCCGTGTAAGCCATGCGCCAAAAAGAATTACGAAGGTTCGAGCAAAACGTTTCAAAACGTAATAAGTAAAGAGGAGATCTTGATATATGTGCACGTGCCTACCAATTTGGAGTCGACGAGAATTTCTAATATTGTATATTTAGAATAATATTATGGTTTAAAAATATTTGATTGATAATTAAATAATCGAGCACTCCTATCAACGAAAAATATGCACGCATTGAGTCCCTCATTGCACACTTCGTCAAGTTACAATTCAAGGAAAGAAGCATGCATCGAAGGACAATATCCTCRATGAAGTCAGTACACCTCGCACCTGTAAGCCGTACTCGTACCCGCTCGGTAAATGTTTCATCAGCTTTTCTTCTCTACCGGTACGTTTGGCAATGTCTATGGCAATAAGTAGGGAATGATTTTCTGTTCGTAGAGTGGAAAGAAGGATACACAGCACAGACCTAGATCTAAGGTCTTCACAGATCAGATAACGGTATATCACGAAGGACGCATCGCCCTTTTGTCTCGAAAGCTGTTGCCCATGGGCGATTCGACACCAGCGAGTGAATCCGTTCCTGCAGAAAATAAGCCTCTCAACGCCATGTCGACCGGTACCGAACAGCCGCCGTCGTCTCCGACTCCCGGGGGCGACGATGGAGACTTGGAGACCAACAAACGTTCCGAGCGGAAAAGACGAAGGGAGAAACAAAGACGGAGTGATCTATCCAATGCATTTGACGAGCTCGCTGCCTTTATCGTTCAGGTTGAACCTGGAAGTGGAGAGGACGACTCGGATAAGAAAGGCAAAAAGAGGAAATCATCCGACGGAGGTGAAGATTCKGCAGGAATAACACGGTTGGATCTGATAGGGCGAGCTCTGAGGATTATGGAACGACTGTATCGTGAAAACGAGGAACGGAAGCGCGTGATTGCAAGTTTTGAGGGACGAGGACAAGGTGGGCCGAATGACAACGTAAGTGAACAGATTCCGACTAGGCGAATCGGATTCTATTCAGTTAAACTTTTTGCTAGCTGTTGGATGACTCCCGTTTTTGGTTGGGTGTTTCGAAACATGAACGCACCGTGCTCCGTGGGGCGGACTATCCTCAGTCGCACCCTGGTTCTTGGTCTCACASCCTGTGCTACCTATTCTGATTTGTTGCCCATACAATGTCTATGTACTACCGTGTGTTATGTGTAGGTTATTGTTATGGTTCCCACACTGGCACCATCGGGGGATGAGCCACAGCCTATAGCCCGCGCAGGGTACCCGRGCCCTTATCATCATTCTGGTSCCCCGCCGTATTACGCATCGGCGGCATCGGCCCTGCCTKCGTCAGCAGCGTTAGGAAACGGGCATGACCCCAGAGARTACTCCATGCCACCGCCACATCCGTACACTTCKCACTGGGGGGCCGCGGCAGCAGCGAGTGGATACGGGGGGCGCCAACCCCCGCCGACGGCAGGTTTGCCCCATCACCTGGCACCGCCAGGGACAGCGRTGAGGTTGCCTCACCAGCATGTGGCCGCGAGGGCCCCCGGAATCGGCGCAGACGGTTTGCCCATGCCTCACGTACCATCGGGAAGACAGCACTAATCACTCTTTGCTMTTTGTAGTGGGGAGGAACACCAATTCTTACCAGATTTTAAATATTGCAAATGGCTTTCGTGGCAGAATAGATGTCGTCGATGCGAGGGAACGCAAACAATCGGTGTCACAATTGTACCTGCAGTAATGTACTATTGACATTCGCGGTGAATAACCTTTGTATTTTATAGACGGGGCAGTTGTAGCGTAATGGATTCATTCAAAATGGTTTAACAGTGAAGTGCAGTAGAACAAAAAAGAAAACCTCGTCTTATACTTTGTCGGAGTATACTTTTGCAKTCAAAGTGTTCAATAAATCGAGAGCTTCTTTTCACACAATTAGAATACCTACCCTCCGTATATTRTAGAAATTGTTTGATTCCAAGCTCACACCTCACCAATATTCCTAGAGAAATAATTCCACAACACTACAACAAGATCAAGTTAGTAGGTTCGAGACTTTCCTCCAAACACAGAGAAAGCTTTTCTAGATTCAAATAGTCCTTTCCTGTTCCACTMGAAATGGGCGATTTGAGCACTGCTCCTGGTTCTTTCTCGATTGACGATTTCTTTCGTTCTTTCAGCATTGTCTCGGCGCGTTCCCGATTGGARAGCARCCAGTCTTGGTAGAGGATCGCTTGGCGCGGTGTTAAAATATCCAGGTACRTCTTTCTTTTGCGAAACGAGGTCAGGTACAACTGTTTGAGAAYAGCTTCCTTCAGATTCGATGCCAGTCTCGTTGCGGCCAAGATTTGGCTCCCGTTTCTCCGRAAGCTTTCGCCTTCTCGAAGCCTGCAGTTTTTCAGAAGCAGCGGTAATTTCAGCAGTGAACAAACGCTTTTCATCAGCCGTTGGAAACTATCTCAAAGGAGGAAAAGCACACATGCACACCAACGAAAAAATATACAACAATGTGCACGTGCCACACGCTTACTGCCYACGGTCACAAAACGAAAACAAAAAGTGTTTGCCTACCTCCTCCGCGTYTCGAGAATTCGATCTTCTTGCTCTACGCTGATGCTCAGCTCGAAGCACAAAAGAGGCCAGAAGCGACTCCCRGCGGAAACACTGGCAGAATAGCTGGGACCTTCTTCTTTCGATATTTCTTCACCGATTTGCTTTGAACTGATCTTCCCGGTTGAAATTTTCTTTGCCCTTATCCTCTTGGAATGGCCCTCCTTCCCCGCCAAAAAGTACGAGTCCGTTTGCAGAATCATCCAGAGAAAGAATTTCTGGTACTTTGCCAAAAAATTCTGAGAAAGCGAATTGTATTGGAATTCGACGACCTCCTTACGAGTGGACTGCTCCGACTCATTAATGAAAGAAGTACRCARCAGCAAATTTCTGAGTCGATTCGCGTAGTCCTGATCTTGTTCGTGTCGTGAGGCATCGAGCATTTCCTTGAGTTCCAAAAGGCGTTCTTTCTCAAAACTCGTCAGCGCTGTATTCATTGCATTTACCCGGACTCGTCGCTCCGTTTCAACCTTGCAGTACAGTCGGTTGACCTTCCCCTCTAGATACTGCAGACGCTCTTTCTTTCTTCGGCGCGATTTCCGTGCCGATTCACGATTCCGTTCAAGTCGTTTTGCTCGTTTCTCYTCCGTTTCTTCTGCACTCTCAGCCTTTTGCAGYAAGTAGGCGGCCGTGAAATGCGGAAAAAAGAACTGGTTGTTTGTGCCCGATGCAAGTGCGGCTGCTGCCACTGGGTGCAGTGGGGCGACAACGCCTTTGTTAAAAGCTACGGAGGGTGATGAATTGCTTGCGTTTGCGTCTTTGTTCTTATCTATGTGCAGGGATGAAGTGGAAGGTATTGAKTGTGCAAATTGTTTTTGTGTAGCAGCGACAGCTTGACTGAGTTGAGTTGGAATATCGGGTGCTGTKAAAGTTGTCGTGGATGTTAATGTCTCCTGTCTTGTGGTCGGACTCGCTTGCTGTCCTGGATGATGCTGCTGCTGCAAGGAACTGTTCGTAACGATATTCGAGGATGGCAAAGGTACAGGATTCCCCTTCGAGTTACCGTACGCGCTGCTGGCAATAATCTTATTGTACTCTTGAGAAAGCGAATTGACCATTCCGGGGTGAGGCGAGAGCTCGGAACTTCGTTGGTTCTGGCCCGTTCCAAACTGCTGCACGTTCTGCTGAGCATCTTTTCCACCAGGTGGCAATAGAAGTGGCTCTGAGTCTCCTTGAAACTCAAGCGCAGGACTGATCGGAGAAGCTTCTTCCATTGTTGCATTGTATCCTTGGAAGACAAAATTGTTGTTGGTAGTGCTGGTGTTGCTTCTACTACTGCTGACGTTTGGGTTATAGTGTTGGCCAATTGCTTGCATAAAATTCTGTTTCATCTCCTCCTGCTGCTGTTGTTGCTGTTGTTGTTGCCGTTGTTGTTGTTGTTCACGATGCTGTTGTTGGTCGAAGGGAAAGTGTTGTACCTGTTGACCGAAATGATTCCCAGGAGCTTTGGAAGATGACCCAGAATTTCTTGAAGAAGGTTTTGATGTGGTTTTGTGAGACGACGACGACGACGACGACGGAAAGTAGTGCTGTATGACGGGTGTTGGTGGRGGCTGCCGAAGGTCGTTATCCATCTCCCCATGTACCTGACTGTGACCTAGATTGTAGTGGTTTTTGTTTGGACCCAGTGGAGACGGACCCTGCCGCACGCGCAAGATGCTATTCGCAGACGACGACATCGACGACGACGATGCCTCCTGCAACCCGCTGTGAAACGGATGCTGCAGTATCCTATCGGAGACCATCGAGCGATCTCCAGGTGCAGCTCTGCTTGGATTGGAAAGCGTGTTCGACGATAGGTGAGAAGGACCAAACGGAGGGCTATTGCTGTCAAGGAAATAATTAAGCATGTGGCCCTCTGAATTTTGTGAGGCATCGCGTTGTGTTGTGTTGTGTTGTGTTGTGTCGTGTTGCGATGTGATGTGATGTGATTCATTTTGGTTGCGAGTGAGAACAAAAAAAGGAAGATTAAGCATCAGATATAAAACTTCTCCCCCTGACATCGGATCCATCGCGAGACAAAGAAATGCAGTACTCACCGGAATCGGGGTCCCAAAATGTATTTCTATTCTCCACTGGTTGTGGCCCAATGGGACTCAAATCACTGCTCCATTCTACTTTCTTTTTTCGTTGCTGCTGCTGCTGCTGCTGCTGCTGCTGCTGTGACTGCTGCTGCTGCTGTTGTCGTTGTCGTTGTTGTTGCTGTTGCTGTTGCTGTTGCTGTTGTTGCTGTTGTTGTTGTTGTTGCTGCTGCTGCCGTTGCTGCCGTTGCTGTTGATGTTGGAAGAAGTAAGACATGGTGACAACGCTTGATGCAAGTTTGTACACACACAACTTGTGGCAACAGAATTCAAAGAATTATCAGTCGCAGACGGATACACTTGTCGAATACAACGACACACGAACACTAGACATAGACACAATGTTGACACCTATTCTCTAACTTTGTTCTCGGTTACGACGATCACGCGAGCGGTGATAGCTGCAMGAGAAAAATCGATCGACAAATGGATTTGTTATTGGTCAGTGCGTTTGTTTTTCGATTGGTTCTGAAGGGCGTGGGGCGCCGAAGTGAAAGAAATTTTGAGAAGTTTGAAACAGAAAGCGTTCTGTTGTCTCAAAAAGTATTCTCTCTCATTCTACCCTAGTGAACGGTACGATTACCCGTACGAGTACTCGTACCTTGCCGTCCATCCTAGTCCTCGGTATGAGTACGTACCGTACTGTACGGTAAGGTATGGTTCCTGCTTCCACTAGTAAATTGTATTTCATKGCGACACGTCGCCTATCGTAATCAAAAAACGCTTCTCGGTTCGCCTTCAAATTCAAGAAAGCCTGATTCGCCTGTCGTTAAATACTTATTGGATTGACACCAAATACGACTGATTTCACATGGAGACAATAATTCCAGAAGGACCAAYGGCGACCAACAACCTAAGAATCACAGTCATCATTATTTTTTACTGCTCTCTTTCATTATTTTAAAGCCTTCGAAGTAAAAAAATAAAAATCGTAGTTCTGTACTTCGTAGTGGCATCATTACACACGTTTGCGTGATGTCTCATTCATCCTCGCATTGGAAGACATTGAAAGTCAGTAAAAATGAATCTAACTATTCATTGAATGGACCCAMTAGCGTAATTCGTTTACATCATCTGATATCTTTACCTTTCGAGACAGCAATTGTTGGTTTTGAGCGTACGAAGTGTGGGAAACTCTGAATACTGTCGGAAAGGTGTTRTGCAAAGTCGCAAACTGCGAATGTCAATCGAATCAAAGGTTCAATTGCCACTAAATCACGAAGGACGCAACAGTTGACAAGATCAACTMTCGGCCGTCCCGGATGCTTCGTTTTTTAGTAGCAACAAGAAAGCAAGCCACGACGTTTTTTACCACAAGAGGTGGTGGCACGCAGTTTCCCTCGGAATTCAGGTCTTCACCGGGGACACGTACACGTCCCAGCGGTTGGTGGACCCCRCAACGACGTACGACGGCTTCTTGCTCCCGTCTCCCAGTGGCGGGGCATTGACGGGTCGCTTGACCACCACGCGAAGCSTTGCGACGTCGATTGCGGACACGAGCAATTCTTGTTCCTCTCGCTGCTTTTGGTCTTCGTCGATCTCGTCTCCCCGGACGTGGGTTTCTAGAAGACCGTGAAGGATGGACATTCCCTTCTTTACCGCGGATTTTTTCTGCCGGGGCGGAAACATGGGGTCCAGGTAGACGACGTCGCATTCGGGCCGATCGCCCTCCCGCTTTCGCAGTTCGTCTTTTCCCTCCCCGATGGTCAGGCTAAGCGTTTCCAGGAGTGCGGTCGCGGGTTTTYGACCGTCCGAGTCGTCCAGCGAGGCTTCTTGACTCGCTATCCATTCCAGCCTCCGCATCGCGTCCCCGAGCAACGCGGCGACGACCGGATTGCGCTCCACCATGTGGACCCGCCGCGCACCGTTCCTGGCCAGGACTAGCGAATCCTGTCCCAGACCTGCCGTCAGATCCCACACGACCGCCCCCGCGCCGCCGCTTCCCTTTCGAGGACCGACCGCCTTGACCAGCAGATCCGAGGTTCCCGAAGCACCTGCCGCCCTCCGCCCGGCTCGGCTGCCCACGGGCGGGCAGAGATCCACGAAAAACGCCGCCGAAGACGGTTTGTTGGTTTTGGGTTTCTTCTTTTTCGGTCGCCGCCGGGAGCTTCCGCTGCTRGATTCCATCGGTTCTATGGCCAGTGCAAACGTGGATYGMTCGGGTATCGTTCCGTACTCGTACGGAACCAAACTCAGCGCGTGGGTGAATCCGAAACTGTCCCTCGACTCCCGACGAACCGCCACATCGGAATTGRAAAAAAGCGGCACACCTAGCGCAGCCGCTGTCGTTTTCGCATGCTCTAARAGCGTGTCGTCTTGTTCATCGTCTTCGTCGACCATCACAAATATTTTTTGCTTTTCGGAGCCATCGTCCTCTGGAGGTGCCGGCTCYGATAGGAACAGTGGCGTCGGGTATGTGCCTCTCTTGTTTTTTCTCCATGCGGAACACTCAGCCAATGTTTGTAACTGAAAGGAATCAGTCGAAGCGAGAAGGCAAAGCGATATAACAACAAGGCAGGCGGGGTGTTGCATGATCAATTGCATGATCGATGCTGTTCGTGTTTGTGAAGAAGGTCGACAGGCAGCACACAGAGCTTGTTCCTGTCGCACCACCACACCTCTGTTCATGAAAACCAAGTCGCGCACATTATCAGATTTTGATACCGGTAGGCATTTCCCGGCCATCACGTTTGAAAAGCACAGCCTGCGATGAAGGGCTCCGCCCCAGTCACGAGCATCCGGGACACAAAGAACTGACGCGTGGACCCGTCTAAGCATGTCTCTCGTACGAGTGCGTACGGGTACGTACTCGTACTCGTACTCGTACCCGTAGCTCCCTGGCCTGGCTGTGCTGTACGGCTCGTATCGTATTGTAMCGGACAGATCGCAAGTCCAAGTACAACAGTACCGTACGTACGCCGTATCGTGCACAACCTTCCACCAAGTTCATGAAAAACAAAATGAGAACGATTTTTTTTGAGACGATAGGAACGGTTCATTCTCAAACTCGATTACTCGCATTGCACACTTCGAAATAGAGAAAGATATCCGGGAGACAGAGGATAATCGCTCCGTAATAACCAGCGCATCTCTTATCGAACGACGAAYTCGAAACGAAAAGTAATACGCAAGAATTTTCAAGTAATAGAGCTACRCAACAATGAACTACGTTTTTTCGGTGATTCGCAGCATCGTGCTGCTGTCGATGTCGCTTTCGTCTGTGGAAGCAGCAAGAAAGCAACGATCGAAAGATCTCACGTCACTGGAGTACTCTGTGTTCCCGCGACGAACCGAAGAGGAGGCGGCCGTTTTTGAATGGGGCCATTCCGCGATCATTTCGGCCCTGGATGCCTCCGTGGCGAAATTCGGACCGCAAACGAGCGACGCGGCGCTGCTGGAGGTTGAGTGCATGCCCATCCTGGCGTCGCCGGTCAACGGAGCGATGAGGGGCGAAGACGGCGAAAAAGAAATCACGGCACTCCGCAATGCCGATGACATCCACGGGAACATTGTGGTGATGACCAACAACGGTGGCTTGTCGGGCGTGGAAATGGCCAAGATTGCAAAGCTTTCGGGAGCCGCCGCCCTTCTCGTGGTCAACATCGACGAGAAACGACCTGACGATATCAACCGCCTGGATATTCTCGAGGGAGAGGAAGAAGACGCAGAGGACATTGACATTCCCGTCGTTATGATTTCTCTGAACTCGGCCAATGTATTGACAACGGCCACGGTGGAGGCACACATGGAGGCAAAGGATATTGTCAACAACGGCATGCCAGAACGAATTCGATTATACGCTGGRGGCGACCGTCCGTTCTTTGAAGACGTTGAACCATTGAATCCGACACTYTACTTGATCCACAATCTATTGACCGGAGAGGAGGCAGACTCCTTGGTTGACAGCGCAAAATCCAAAGTCGAACCCATGAAAACCGGTGTGATYGACAACCTCCAATTGAACACCCAGCCAGAGAACTATCCCGGAGTCGAGAGCGTCATGCTTTGGAAGGGAGCCCTAGCCTCACCGGCACAAAAGGCCGTGGAAGAACGAATCGAACAGGTCACGGGGTTTCCKGCGACACATTTTAGTGATTTCGTTGTGGACAAATTGGAGTCCGGAGCRCACTGGAAGCCGCACTATGACAAACATTCAGACGCCTTTGATTCGACACCCGTTGCCACCATTATTGTATTTCTGACGCAACCAGGCGACAGCGAGAGTGGGTCCATTGTCTACCCGGGAAGCAAGAAAGATCCCATCAAGATTTTGCSGCAAAAGGGTTTGGCAATCGTACACCACAACATGGACAACAACAGCGCGCTTGATTTGAGCACCCTGCACGCCATGATGCCGGTTGCGGAAGGCGAAACAGTRTACGTCGCTCGCAAATACGTTTTCGAGCAGCCTATATCCCAGTCGCGACGGGTTGCCCTGCCCATTTTTGCATTTGCATTCGGCGGAAAGCTTCCTGCAATCATTGTGGATTTTCACGATATGCTCGTGGAGAACTTTGGTGCAGAAGAGGGGGGTATCTATTTTGACAAGGCCTGCGTCTTCCTGCCATTATTGGTCCTGCTGTTGATAGCACAGTTTTTGGTCAATTACGTAAAAGATCAAATAATGGATACCGCCTCTGACAACCAAACCAACGAAAAGACAAGGAAAAAATCTGCCAAATCCGAAAMGAAACAAGCVAAGAAAAGCAAGAAAGGAAAAAGCGATTAAAACTCCCTATTTCCGCATACCACCATCAGCTTGTTATCAGGGTAGGAAGGAGCAAAGCTAAACCAAGTACGCTGTTACAAAAATAAAACACCCATTTTGAATTTCTATAAAACATCCAGTGCACTCAAACACTCCTAGCAATACTACATCTTCTACACCATATAGAAATATCATTCTTCATCATGATGAACTTTTCGAAGTTATTTACTTTTATTAGGTTTTCGTCAATTGAAATTATTTCTGACAAATGATCAAATCAAAATCTACGATGAATGCGTTTTGCTTAGCGTACAGCATTCAACTGAATCATGGATCTGCGAGAGCAGATAGAATCACTGACCTCCAAACCATTGGCTCGAAGAACATCCCTAATGCAGAAGGAACGCAGCAACAACAAAGGCGACACGGAAWACATTAGAAAAGCAAGGAAAGAAAATAAGCAATCTAATTTTTAGTCGCCTGAAATATACAAAACAACTCACCTCAGCACATCGCAAGCGTCAAGCAAATGAAGCCGTCGCAATTCATTCGCTTGATCTTTCCATTTCAAAATCTCTTTTCGAAATTGCATCGCGGCTACCTTGATAGGACCAGGGGGAGATATCTGGAGCTCCTCGGAAAGTTGAGACAGGGCGAAATTCAAATTTTCCAACTTTGAGCCATTTTTGTCTCGTTCTAGCACGAATTTCCTCGCTGCTACTCGACAACCCATCGCCGCATGCTGAAGACTCGTTGTWATGATATCGGATTGATTTTGTGGAAGAACCCCATTTCCTACTTCCTTTTTCCTACCGGCAACAAAAGATGCCTTCAAATCCGAGCGTTCGTTGCTGAATCGAATGGCCATATCTTCGTCACCCAATTCTTTTGCGCACTTGCGAAGCCATGTCAAATTTGTCATTCTGCTTTGATATATTTTTTCGGTGTGGTGCTCGGAAGTTTCTTCGAKTCTCTCCAATATTAAACGTTCCGCTTTGAAAGTTGACAACGCTTGAGAATAATAGAGCTGGGCGAATGCTACACCAGCAATCTCATGCAAAACACAAGAAACCTCCAAATGGGTTGGATTTTCCTCCTCTTCTCTACCAACAGGTTTTGCATATGCATAAACATTCCTTCGAATAACTAAGCAGGCAGAGAAATGAAGACCTGCTTGTTCCAGYTGCTCACGTTGACGCGCGAGTGCTCCTTGCTGGAATTTGACAGCTGCGATGTTTATGTGATTTTTGTTTTCTCCATAAAGCTCCATGTACAAATCCAGCGCTTGTTCAAGGTACGTTTCGGCACGATCTAGTAACCCTTGACGAATTGTTACCCTTGCAAGTTGTTTCAACGTTGCAGCTCTTTGCCCACTTTGTCGACTCAGTCCGAGCGCTTCTTGAAGCAAATACTTTGCTTTGTCCAGTTGTGGTGGCTTTCTTGCCACCATAATTGAAGCGAGCTGGTGCAGTGTTGCTGCAGAGTGAGCAGCGCTCAATTCGGGGTTGCCCATCAGCTGTCGCATTTCCAAAGATTGCTCGAGAAATTTAGTTGCAGMATCAAGATTATGTTTCTTGACCTCTAACACACCCAACTCGTGCAGAGTATCTGCAATTCGTCTCTTAGCTTCTGGATTTCTCCACTTTAGTTTCTGATAAATTCGCAATGCCTCAGTTAAAGATTGCTCGGAATCATCGTACTTTCCTTGGTAACGGAAGACACGTCCCAACTCATGAAGAGCCTCGGCACGTGCTCGCTGCATGACAGGTTTGTTTCGATGTTTTGATTCATCAAATATCGAGATGGCTAACTCAAACGATTGCTGAGAATCAAGAAACGCATTCAAGGCCATTGCTGAATATACACCTGCCTCTATTGATAATCTTCCGGCTATTAATCTAGCTTCATTGCATCTGAAATCACATGATCCAATATGGGACACCACTGATTTGACATGATCTAGCACTTGAAGAGACTCTTTCCAAGTATCTGACTCGTCTGCTTTGAATGTCCAAATCGATTGCATTGCGTGCAGGCATACCCTCAAGTTTCTTCTGTAGTCTACTTCGCTTTGAGACTGTCGCAGAGCTTGCGCTAAAAGCCGATGCATACTTCCTTTGCCTTCTTTAACGATCAGTAGTGAATATGATTTGAGAATGTTCCATACAGAATCGGCATCTTCGTATATAGTGGCAGAGAAAGCAAAATGAGATGGATGTGCGACCTGTTCAAGGCTCCTGCTTTCTGTCGGKGATCTGTTGCACAATGCTTCGCCACCAACAGATTTCATAAGCAAGGCTGATAGTGTTGAAAGCGAGACAAGCGCAAATCCAATCGTCTGACGATTGCCGTTTGTTCTAAAACGCTGCTTTCCAACAGCAGCTATCGTCAGTCCAAATAAACCACAAGACAATAGGAAGGAAAGTCCAAGAGAACGAATGTTTTCATAGTTCAGTATTTCATCAAAACATCCTTCGGTATTAGGATGAAATTTGATCTGGGAGTTCATAAGGTGTCGAAGAAGTAGTTTTGTGATTTGTTCGGGGCCCAAGAAACACAAAAGTTGAAGCATGCTGCATCCAACTTTGCTTTCTTTCTCAATTGCAACCAAGCTAAGCGATAAACTCGAGGCGACGGTAAGTGAATAGTCCTGCAATTTGCCATGACGCAGCAAAGATGTTCCACTCTTCTCCGATACTTTGTACCGTTCCAAGTACTCCATGCAATTCACATCACACCGCAGCATATACGCAGCCGCCATTCCGAGGGCCAACGGCAAATGTCCTAGTCGCGTTGCAATTTCACTGGCTGCATCAAGGTTTGCTTCACCTTTTATATTGTTCCCACCAGCAGCCCGTTTCAACAGTTCTACCGACTCCTCGGGAGTGAAGCACCCTAGCAATAAACTTCCACATGATTGGTCCAAATCCCATTCCATTTCAAACAAACGAGTAGTCACCAAGATATGACCCCTTGTCCCCGCTCCTCTCGGTACGAATACATTTAACAACGATCGATCTTCTAGATTGTCAAAGACTAAAAGCCAAGGAACTTGAGACCGGAATAATCTTGTTTTGACCTCACGAACTATTTCATCCGTATCCTGTGTCAGCGTGTTGTTGTTTCTAATGCCACTTCCACCGAAATCAGCCCCTGTGGACGAAGACGAGGTCTTTACGGTGTTTTTTAAAGAATTCGCTGCTACAATGACTTCGGAGGCATTTTCTTGGGCCAAGTCCATGAGCAGTTGTCGGTAGTCTGCCACTAGGGATTCTGACGATTCGGCATTTAACCAAACCACCAAACCATAGTCTCTTGGAAAGTGACGATAACAATACTCTGTGACAAATTGTGTTTTGCCAACTCCACCCATTCCAGCGACCTCCACTTTGACTACCATTTGTTGTTGCTGATTCTGCCTGCTGGTCGGAGAAGACAATYTGTTGTTGGGTTCCCCGCCTGTTACAGCGGCAAATCGTGACCAAAGATGCTGGAGTTCTTTTTCTCGCCCCGTAAAATTCATGTTCCGCCTGGGAATACTCCATGTTCCCTTCATACGTCGATGAAAGGCACTTGAAAACTCTTCTGGGTGTTTCCTGTCTCCGAAATAGGTCTTCGAGGCATAACTTTGCAGCAGTCGATCGATCGTAGAGTAGTCTTTTCGGTAGAGCCAGGGGCGCCGACTCGAAGGCGTATCGTTCAAAAAGTATGTGGACCATCCTCCGGTCGTTTGGATAAAGCTCTCGGCCATTGGTTCCCCACCCCATTCTAGACACCCTTGGAGGACTGTATCCACGTACGATTGAAGCAATGGATGATTTTCGTCTGCCATCTTGCTGTGGCTGGGGAGGGGCACATAAATCCAAAGACGGTCGTCGGGCCCGAGATCTTTGTGCCAAGGCGAGGAACTCTTATCATAGTCTGCAAATTSGAGGTACTCAAGCGGTATCCGTACCTTTTCGTATCCAACTTCTCGGCGATCAAAGATCGGGATCATCGCTTGGGTGACACGAAACAAAACTCCGTTTATGTTGCTACCAGCGGCTACCTTGGATACACCGAGCGCGGTAAATCCGGTGCTGCTTCGGAAATTCCAYTCCCGTTCATATCCGAAATCCTTGCTAAGAATTACTGCAATACCTGGCAGGATGTTCTCTCCGTGAGTACTACGATTCATTATCGATCCAAAGCCAAAAATGTAGTCATATTCCTCGATCTCGACGCCATCGGCAACGACAMCGCTCATGTTGCTTTCTTTTTCGACCATTKTCACCGTTGTATTGTTCGAGTTGTTTAGAACTAGAGATGATCCGTCCTACTATTCCCGTGAAGATTTTGGGTTGACACTGACTAGGAGAAACATTGCTATCTTACCGTTTGGTATCCGCCRTTTGTCTCGATGTCGGAAGTTTGGTTTTAATGCGATCGGACTACAAAAAGTTGACTTGATTTGGTTGTTCGTTGAATTTTGAATTCTTATTTCTTTATGGTACGTACCAGGTACCGTACCCCAAGTAATACAAACGTATTGGTAGTCTTTGACATCGACAGGTTCAACGTGAAAGCGAAACAGACGTTTTGTGTTGTGATGGCAAATTCAGTCACATATTCTTTTAGTGTATGCGCATTCATATTGTTATTATGTATTAATAGTATGTATGAAGAGGAAAGTGGCATCCTTTGAGGATCAAAGTCATTTTCGAATTTTTYCAGGGATGAAATAATATCATTTTTGAAAATTCCCTCCCGCAACGGAAACGTATGTACAATTCTTTACTAGTACGTAGTACCGTACCTCATGAAGGCTTTTGAACTCACGCAAAGGAACGAGGACGACAACCATCTTCCACATCGAGTGGTTGCTGCCGTTGATAATTCTCGTTGAATTTTCGAATCTATATAGCCTTAGTCCGGAATAGGAACTAGAATATAAATCATGTTGAAACCTCCAGGATCGAGCCGAGCTGTCGGCGGCAGCTCAAATAGGTATGCGAGCAGCCGTCGGAAGACGATGGAAAGCCCAACGGATCAGCTGCGGAAAATAGCGAAACAGCATCCTTCCAACAAGAAATGTGCCGATTGCGGGGCGAAACTTCCGCAGTGTGTCAACCTATCGGTGAATTCCTTCATTTGCATGACGTGTGCGGGCTTACACCGTGAAATAAACTCAAAAATTAAGAGTCTGGGCCATTCCACATTCACCGATGAGGAGGTGGCAACSATGAGCCAGACAAACAACGACAAAGTGAACCTGGTATGGTTGGCTCGGTTCGACCCGAAAAACGAACGAAGTCGATTGAACCAACARCCGAACGGTAACCAAGATCAGGAGCATCTRCGAGCTTGGATTCGCCGCAAGTACAAGGACAAGCGCTGGTACTCTAGTGACGGAACTGTAGCTGCTGGCAGTCAAACGAATTCGGCCCGAAGAGGTTCCGTGTCCTCTAATCAGCAGCCACAGGCCACAGTGGTCCAGATCCCACCAGCCAATCCTCCGACCGATTTGTTTGGGGGGTTTGATGCACCGGCACCAGCCCCAGTTGCCGCTCCAAGCCCCCAGAATGGTGGATGGGACGCGTTTGGGGGGTCTTCTCAGCAACCACCGCAACAGCAAGCCAGCAACTTCGGCAACTTTGATAACAATCAAGGTACCGCTCCCGATCCATTCGCCCAACCTACCCCACCTCAGCAGCAGCAGCAGCAGCAGCAACAACAACAAAACTTCGCAAACTTTGGGGCAACGGATCCATTTGCTAAGCAGCCGCAACAACAGCCCCCAGCACAAAACCAGAACTTTGCGAACTTTGGTGGACAACAGCAGCCCCCACCACAACAACAGTTTGCAAATTTTGGAGGACAGCAGCCCCCACCACAGCAACAAAACCAGAACTTTGCAAACTTTGGTGGCCAAAATACTCAGCAGCAGCARTTGCAAGCCGGTTTTGCAAACTTCAATCAGCAGCAACAACGCCAACCTCCTCAGCAACCTGTGCAACAGCAGATGGGAGGGTTTGCCAACTTCAATCAGCAGCAAGATATGACTCACCAACAGCAGCCGCAAATGGGAAATCAGGTTCCTACAGGAGGAGGGTTTGCAAACTTTAATCAGCAAGGGCAGCAGCAGGAACAACAGCAAGAACCTCCAGCGCAAACTCCAGGTTTTACGGCGAACTTCGAGCAACAGCAGGCTGCACAGACACAGCCTCCTGTAGCACAGCAGGGTGGAGGGTTTGCAGCAAMCTTCAAGCAGCCTTCGCAGCAACCAGAACAGTTTTCGCAATCGCAGCCTCCAGGTTCCTTTTCGAACATGCCACCACCTGTGTCCGATGCATTGCCACCACAAGTGCAACAACTACCGCAACAGCAGAAACCTCCAACTCAATCGCAGCCAATGGCAATGCCTACCATGGCGGCACCAAAAGAAGATCCGATGGATGCATTTGCTCACTTGAGTGTTGGCGGTGAAAAAAATAACACCGGTAGCACCAATCCCCTTTCTATGAATCAGCCTGCGACAAATCCCGATGTTGCTGRAATGAAGCCCGACGATTCAAGTCCTGTACAATACGAAGCAAAAGATGTTGTTTGCTATAAGTCCAATGGCAAACGCTCAAAAGCACAGATTGTAAAGAAACACTTGGACGACGAACTCACACCTTACTACACAATCGTGCTTCCTTTTGGAAAGGAAAAACAGACCGACGACGCCCATTTGGACCGCCTTGATCCTGCGTATGAAAAAATCGAATCGACGTTGCTCTCCCTTTCTACGACTCAGTTGAAACAGGTTGAAGACTTTTTGTCAAAAATTACCGCTGGCGCAAGTTCTATTTCAGGCAGTATCCCTGCCGCTCCCGTTTCATCGATGCAATCGCCGTTTGTGGAAAATGCCATGACGATCAATCAAGCGTCAGCAAACGTTCCGACCAACATGGGAGGCACCATGAATGCATCAGCATCRGCTACAACAATGATGAACAAACCATCATCCAACATCAGTGCAATTCCAAGCCCCGTTCTCGAGGCCAAACCTCYGGTTCCTAGTATGGGATCTATTCCTGATCCTAAGACCGGCAGTCAGGCGAACAATTCAGGACAGACAGTGCAGCAGCCAAA